TGTCTTTGTACAGTCACTTAAGCAACTTGATGTAAAAGTACTAAATAAAACATACAGAAACCCCAAGAGGGCATTTCACCAAAAAGCCCTAATGGGAATTATCCAGCCTTTTAGCAGGTGTAGGGCCCTGCCTGAAAGTGGCATCATAGATGTCTCCTGAGCCTTCCCAGTAACCCAGTAATGGGTCTGCTGCTTGCCAGATAGTCTGTCACAGGTTGTCAGCCACGGCTGGGAAGAGGGACGGCAGCCTCTTTTGTTCCCATGTCAAGCATGCAGAGAAGGGACTCCTAAGTAGATAATTCAAGGGGAAACAGCTGCTGAGTTCTCAGTTCTCCATGACTCTCTAATTTTGCCTTCTCTTAATGTATCTGCCTGCTGCTGGATGAATGCTGCCCGCTGACAGTCAGACAAATAGCAAAATGCTGTAAACTTCATTGAAAACTGTGAAGCGTGGCTATTTGGATGCTTATGGAAGAACAAGTTGAAAGACTTTTCTGAACATGTGGGGCCATGGTTGGATAATTTTAAACTCCTGTAAAAGGGCACACTAACTTGATTGCCCTAATCTTTTAAGTCAAATTAATTATTACAAGCTCTTTTGATTTTGTGATTGTGAAGGGACTTTCCCCCCCCCCCCCCATTTAAAAAGCCCCAGTGTCTGACATCACTTGAATATACAAGAGTCAAGCACTCCACTTAAAAGTAAATGAACTTTTGAATTGTGGCTTGAAAATGTAAATCCTACAAGCATAAAAAGCCAGACAGATGATAAAAAACTTTCCCTACCTGACTAATTCCCCAGTACCTTTAGGCTAATGTTAGATGCCTTACTCACAGGTTATTTGGTTAACTGTACTTTGGCTTCTGTATCACTCAGCAGACCACAAAAGTCTTCATGAACTCCAGCAAGTAAAACTTGTCTTGGACAATTTGTCTCTATGTGAAACTATCTGGCATAGCCTGAGCTATATAAACATAAAACCTTCTGTTACTCTGGCTTGCACTGGTGCTGCCAGGTGAAGTATACTGTGCTTAAATCCTGCGCCATACTAGTTTGTCATTTGCAAAAGTTGTAATTTTTTATTTGTAATCTGTAATTGTTTTGAGCCTGGTTAGCATTGGCACTAGGGCCTTTCTGGGACTGCTAAATAACCACATTATCTAGAAGCTGAAGATGGTATGGGGCTGGTTTGCTGTTTTCCCTCCCAGCAGTAGCTATGGGGATGCAGGGGGCGAGCCCCCTGGCAGCTTGTGCCGGTGAGGTTCGTGCGCTGCCGGTGCGTGCCGGTGCGTGCCGGTGCCAGTCCGAGCACTGGTCACTAGATGGCACCATGCGACCGGGCTGGGAGAGGTGTTGGCGGGGCGGGCAGTCTCCGCTAGGTAACGCCGGGAGTGTGGCAGCGGAGCTGGGGAGCACTGGCGCTTCCCCTCCCGCAGCTCCGCTCGGTGCCTTTTCTGACGGGGCCGCCAAAGGGAAAGGGGCCGGGCGCTTGCTTCTTCCTCCCGGAACGGCGCCGGCTGCCCCGGGTGCAGAGCGTGAGTCCACGGTGCCTGGAGTAGAGTGCATGTCACAGGGGCGGGCCAAAAGCTGGCAGGGTACGGGAGCACAGGGTTTGCCAACTCTTAATACATTCGCAGAAAAGTTTCTCACTCACTTGCTCAGAGAGAAATAAATTCGTTTGGGCCCCATGTTGCCAGTAGTCAGTGCAGGTAGGCACTTACATTCCCTGCCTCACTGACAAAGAAGGTTTCTAGTATCAGTATTTTACATCACAGGCACCTGAAAATGAGCATGCTGTTTTTGAGCACGTGTGTGACTGCAGGGCAGTGTGTCAGAAACATGCAGGAGAATGAAATGGCCCTTCACTCTTTTCCTTCATTCAAAAATGATCAGGAGGATGGAGCACCATTCCTGTGAGGAAAATCTGAGAGAGTTCGGCTTGTTCAGCCTGGAGAACAGGAGGCTCTGCAGAGACCTTATTGTGGCCTTTCAGTTCTAAAAGGGGCCTATGAGAAAGATGGGAAGAGACTTTTCAGCAGGGCCTGTTGCGATAGGATGAGGAGTGATGGTTTTAAACTGAAAGAGGGGAGATTCAGGCTGGACGTGAGAAAGAAAGCTTTTACAATGAGGATTGTGAAATCCTGGCACAGGCTTCTCAGAGAGGTGGTGGATGCACCATCCCTGGAGGCATTCAGGGTCAAGCTGGATGTGGTTCTGGGGAACCTGGTCTAGTGGAATGTGGCCTTGCTCATTGCAGGGGGGTTGGACTACATGAACTTTGGAGGTCCCTTCCAACCCAAATTATTCTATGATTCCCCTTACACATCCATCACAACTGTGAGCATGGGCATAGTGGCTGCTTTAGGTGGCATTAGCCAGTTTATTTACGTATGATTCAAAAGATACAAAGTTGGAAGCTGAAGAATATATTCATATTGTCAAATTTTTCCTTGTTTTCTTCTGGACTTCTGTCAGTCTGCATAACAGGAACCTCTGTTCCAGTGGTATCCAGGAGTGATATTATGACCTTAGCATGTGTTGGTACAGGGTGGTCTCAGAGCACATGAATTGGTTTTCTTTAGGATGAGATGAAGAAATCCTTATGCAAGAAACACAGAAGTCGCACGCACCAAACATTATCTGCTGCAGCTGTTAAGGTCCCGTAGTGATAGGACAAGGGGGAATGGCTTTAAACTGAAAGGGGCTGGATTTAGATTAGACATTAGGAAGAAATTCTGTACTGTGAGGGTGGTGAGGCCCTGGCACAGGTTGTCCAGAAAAGCTGTGGCTGCCCCATTGCTGGCAGTGTCAAGGCCAAGCTGGGCTGGCCTTTGAGCAACCTCATCTAAGTGGAAGGTGCCCTGCCCATAGCAGGTGGGTTGGAACTAGGTGAGCTTTAAGGTTGCTTCCAACCCAAACCATTCTATGATTCAGTCACCAGGCAAAGGTTAGAGACTAGACTGAAGAAACACACACAGAAACCCCACACCCTTCCCCAAGGTTTAGTTACTGAGTAGAAGAGAGTTAATTATCCTTTATTTATTTAAAGGTTATGCTTTCTATATTCATGAAAAACTGTACTCAGTGGTGCACAGAGATGGGTGGTAAATGCTATGAAGCATGCGACAACTTGGTGGGTGGGGGATTCAGCACCTCTTTTCTAGAACATATCCCAGGGTTGTTGCTAAATACATTTGAAGTAATTTGCAAAATCCAAAATCCTGGAAGCAGGAACTGCCAAATTTGGGTTTTCTGCATACTTTCACTCCTGCTGTCTTGAGCTGTCTGCTACAGTCATGGCTGGGAAAAGGATTTCATGTGATATTTCCGTGACTGTGCTGCAAGTGCTGCAAGGAGAAATCAGTGAAACTTCCCAGGCAACTGTGATTCAGGTGTACTCAAACTTCTCCAAGGGTCTGAATTTTTACTGCAGCTTTTGATCTTTCAACTGAGGGGCTTTGGGTGAAATCTCATTCTCATCAGGCATGTTAATAAAACAGTGTTGTATTTAACCTTTGCTTTTATGCTCTGAATGATTTTTTTATTTGAAATTATATTGAAATTATATATGAAATTTTATTGAATAATAGTGAAATATTGCTCAGCTTTCCTGTCTAGGTATTTTGAAGTACAACAGTAAATCCAGAATGGAGCCCTATGTTCTAAATAATGCTTAAATATTTAAGCTGTTCTCTGCGCTCCTTTGTTTAACTGAGTGTCTTATCGTGGTGCTTTGAATTGCTAGAAAGTGAGTAAAAAATAGTGTAAATTTTCTAAGTGCTTTGTATTTACTGAGTATAAATTGCAAATGAAATCTTAGCCTCTGAGCCTAATTTGTAATAGTCAAGGATATGAGACAAAGAGGTTGTTTAAAAAAAAAGTTTCTTGTGTTTTATTCTTAAAAATGGATTGAAGGAAATAATGTTGAAGGCAAGTTGTGCCAGCAGCACATAACCTGCTAGTATCTTGGAGATTATTTCTGCTGGCTTTGTGGGCCTTTTCAGTGTGATACTTGAAAATGCTAATTAATTTCAGGATTGCTGTGTGTGTGATATGCTTTGACATACACAGCAAATTAATAATAATATAATAATCTTTCGAAAAGAATTTTGAGAGCAATTTATAGTTCATGCCAGATGTCAGTTGACTGAGTAATTTAGCACACTTGTGTAACTGAAACATAATAGCTTTTGCCAGCTTGCCATGCTGCTTACGGATATGAATGACAAAATTTATGGGTTTTTAGCTATGTGCATAATCTGAAAAATTCAGTTCCTGTTGCAGGGAATAAGCAGTATCAGAAGTGAATGTGTTTTAATCATCTGAAACATATAACCCAAATACTATTTTATTTGTTTAAACCAGGAAAAGACATAATTCCTCTAAAGGAAGTGCTGTGAATGCAAGATGAAGAAAATTGGTTTTGTCCTATCAGTAGCTGCAGAGACCACATCTCCATAAAAGTCATTAAAGCAGCAAAGACAGGACTGTCAGCTTAGAAATTGCACTAGAAGGTCTACTAAGCCTCTGGCCCTGGAATCAGGTGTTTCTTCCTACGTTTGTGTCAAGTGTAATGACCCTACATCTTTCAGGTTTTAGACCTGGATGTGACCCTAGGAATGGGGGTTAAGGAAACCAGGGATCCACCTTGCCAGACCGCAGCTGCCTAGAAACGATCCAGAGTGGATCTCCTCTACAGTAGATAGAGAGAGACAGGCACTTCTAGGAGGAGGTTCATCTCTAAGAAGTAGTTGGTGGATGAATTGCTCCTTGTAGGGAGCAAAGTCTAAGTGAGAAGAGTATCTGTTGTTTCATGCAAATGAGGGTAAACTACAGAACTAAGTGGAAGGTGTTCCCTTTACCTCCCAGGAAAATGTTAGTTTCACAGTCATCCTGCAAATTATGACACTGAGCATTTTTAATTTGTTATAGTTTTGCAGGCAGATGTACTTAATTGTTTTTGTTTCACCCTTTAAAGCAAAGCATCTCTCTCAGTGTCTTAGAAGCTCATGTCCATAGCGCACTCTAAAATGTGATGGTTCATCCTAGGGTATTGGCCTATGAAAGCCTTCCTGGCTCTCCACACTGCTGCCAACTCCATCTCCACCACTGCTCTTTTTCTCTCTGAGAGTGGATAAGCCATGCAAGGAGTCATTAAGGTAAAACCAATGTGGGTCCTATTAAGCTTAGTTAAATGGGGTAACCGCTTTGAAGTGTAAGGAAAGGAGTTCCAAGTTCAGTTCCTGCCTACTGTCATTGGTTTACTTCAGCCGAGACTCTAATCCCAGCTTCTACAGAAACTGAGTGTGATGGATTGAATCCTGGGGTTTATTTTCTTTTTTTTTTTTTTTTTGGTTTTGGTTGTTTGGTGTTTCTTTTTTAGAGGGTGTTAATGCTTCCCATTTAGTCTTAAACTAGCATATCCTGAGAATATTACACACAGAAATTTCCCACACATGCAGTTAGATGCCCAAGTACATCTTTGAATCAGAAGTTAATAGGTAGAAGCAAGGGAAAGTGAGGTGAAAAGGACTGAAGTGAACTGATTTAACCAAGAAGGGATGAGAAGTTGGTGAGTGGTACAAGACCACGTTATCGGCTCCACTTGCTCTCCTGCACTAAAATCCCACTGATCTAGAGAGCTGTTAATCAGATGCACAAGCAAGAGGGCACATGCCATCCATGATGTCTCCAAGAAACCTTGCAAGTATTAGAAATGTACTTGACTGTGATTGCTACTTACCATAATTTCCCTCAGCTCCTCACAACTTTAGTATGTATTTGTTTCTTCATCTAAGGTTAGTAGCCAAGTGTCCCTTGAGTGTAGCCCATGCACTCAGTGTGTAGCAGGGAGAGACCTTAGCTTTGAAGACCTTCCATGGTTGAGATAAAAAGGAATACAGTGTGTGCTCAAGCTGTTTAATAAGTCATTTTCCACTTTTTTCAGAGGAAACATTTGGCATTGTTATCCTATTGATACATGCTTTGGTAAAATTCAAGACTCTCAGCAGGTTAATTAGAAAGCAGTGTTTCTCATCAGCAGCCAGTGAGGAGCTGATGGGGATCACAGTCTATACATGCTCTGTAAGCTGATCAGACAAGAGCTAGGCATGCATTCCCATGCACAAAAGCAAGGGGTCAGTATGAGGAAAGTAAGGGTTGTATGTTGTTAAGCGTTGCTCAGATTTTATTGGCTTGAAACTGATCTGAGCACCTTAGGAGGAGGCAGTCTGTCTTACTTTTTCCCCTCAAAAGCTATACTCCAGAGAATGAAAGTAGCCTTGTGCATAAGCACTGTAAATCTATAGTGCCTATAAACCTATATGTTCTCACCCTACCTGATGGTAGGTGGTTTTGTCTGGCATTATCTGGACATTGTTGATAGCAGGGATAGCTAAAACTCTGGCTCTGATGTCTTCATGTGAGGAGGTTGGCCAGAATCACAGTAAAGCTGAGTAACATCTCTGAGGCAAGAATTGTCTTTGATTGATTGAGGATCTTAAATCTAGCTCAGAGTTTACTGTCATGAAGATAAGAGAGGCATATTGTTTTTTTCCTGTCTGCCTGAGCCAAAAAATGTAGGGAGTAGACCTATGGACTCCAGGCAGGGCTTTGTTTAGCTCCAGACAGCCTTTATCTTGCAGATTTGACTGAACTCAGTAGAGATGTGTACATCAATGCAAACTATCTTCTACATAACAAAGACAATTTAAAACCAAACTGCATTCCTTGTAACAATATCTAAGTTCGCTTAAATTATAATGTTGCAGGATTCTTGTTAGACATAACATGAATGATAGTTTTGATAACAGGCTTGAAAATCTGCCTAATGTAAGTCATGCCTTCTGCATTATTCTGACTGGAACCATGTGCTGTGGTTCTAAGAAGTAATTTGCTAATTTATTGTAACAGCCCATTTAATGGAACTTTAATGAAGAGCAGTCCTTAAGGCTATTTTAGGTTTCATGTGTGTAGGAGGAATATTTGAACGACGTCACCTTTAATATTTTTAGCTTGGGATTTTTATTGGTGTATTAGTAGAAGGGCTGTGTTTCCAGTCTAGTTTTGTGACAGTGCCACAAACTAAATGCAGTTTCTCAACAAAGACTTGCCAAATGCTATCCTCATAGCGGGAGAGGTTATGTGAGTAGCTACAACATCAGGCTAACCATGGCTTGCAATGGCATCTTTGTTTTTTCATTTCTGAGAGGAAGGAAGCTGTATTGGATTTAAGAAGGCTGTATTAAAACTTAGCGGGAGTAAGGTGCTCTGTTGGCTGCATGTATGTGTGTATGGTGAACATATGAGAAATGTAATTTTTTTCCTCTGGTATGAAACAAGTGTGAAATTTAAAATCTTAGCAGTTTTTTATTACTTATTTATTTATGGCCAGCCCTACTCTATTAAGCTAACATATTTATACAAAATGGGGAGTTCTGAATTTGAGATGTCCCTAAGAATGCCACTGCCATTATAAAGCTAAAAATTTTAAAAGGGGATAAATTCCTTTTGTGTGGCAAAGAGAGCTGGTTAGATTTACATATCAAATGCATTTAGATTTTTTTCTCTTCTAAGCACTCCTGAACTAAGCTGGTTCTTCAGGGCATTTGTTAAATTATGTCACTTGGGAGGTGCAGATAATTCCTAAGCTGTTGTAAAGTATGACCAGTTATATATAAATTTTAATATAAAGTTCTGTATGTCTTTTCTCAGTGACAACATTGCTTTTTCCCCATCCCCTTACACAGCTCTCTGTTGTTTATTCCTTCTTTGTGCTCTTGTCCTTATGCATCTATCACTGGTTGTGGTAGTATTTGCTGAACTACAGGAGTAAAATGCCTGGGTATCAAAGCAGCTCTCCAAATTATGTGCAGGCCCTCAGCTCTCAAGCTGAGGAAGCAGTGGGAAAGGGGGAGTGCACAGCTGGGAGTGCTGATGCAGAAAGTGGCAATGCCCTCACCCTGCCACTGTCAAGAACAGAACAATATCTAGCTCTGCACTAGAGCCCAACTGGGATTGCTGGTGTAGGGGTCAGGCTGCAAGACTGGTGGACGGTTTCCACAGTCCTTCTTTGTACCACTGCTGAAGTGTTTGGTTACCGAATTGATCCAATTCTTGAATGTAACACACATGCTTTTTGCATAAAGACAGATAAGTGGTGGAAAGTGTTTTAGGAAAATCTCTGTTTGCACTCCCCGAGCCTTTTGTGACTGAGCCTTGAGGAAAGAGAGGACTCTTTGCATGGGCAAACATTGTTTTGTACCTCATACACATACACATACACAGACGTGTGCATACTCATACACACATACCACTTGTGACCAGTTCCAACAACTGTTCACAATTCAATCAGTAGTTACAAAACTGCAGTGGCAAGCTGGAAGATGAATTATATATTGCTATGGATATAATGGTTTGCCTAGAAGAGCAGGTCAAGTTTTCCAAAAAAATTACTGATGTAGGGTGCTAGAGGTCTGCTCTTTCATTGTGAACTTGATTTTCTGAAGTGGTGTGCTTCTGAAAATGAGGCTCTTCAAAAGCCATCTTAAGCCTCGACTATCAAAAATATGAAACCGTCTTTTTATGTCCCACTGTTTGTCATCTTTGTGGTAAAAGCAAAGAAACATGAAAGTATCAGAGCAGCACTGCACTGTAAACACATACCAAATTGGATTGTTTGTTAAGGAATGTTTATTAATACTACTTTAAATTATTAGGCTGGTTCAAAAAGTCACTTACTTTTAAGAATGTACTGAAGTGCATGCTTCAGTGTTTTCCTGAACAGAGATGTTTTTCTAAACTGATTCAGTAACAGAACAACTGGATTAGAACTAAAGGTAAACACCAAGGATGTCTTCAGACATCAGTATGTTAAATATAGTGGAAGCACTTTTACTTAGACAGAAAGAACAATAGAAGAAAACATTGAATGAGGTATTTTGGAAGAATTTTTTTTCTTCTTTTATAAATCCAGAATTTTAAAGCTTCTCTAGACCCCTTTGTTTTAGTAGATGTGTTCTAAATTTGTGTATGTATGTACATATGTAAACACACACTTAATATGTACATAGATATGTACACACACTATATGCATATGATGTTCAAATGTAACACATGGGAATAAATAAGGATGTAGTCTGCAGACATAATGCTCTAGCCTGAAGAGGTGGGATCTGGCAAGAAAATTTGCCTATATAATAGCACTTCCCAACAGCGTGCTTGACCAGGTTGTCCAGATCTCCCCCTTCTGAACCACTTTCAGCCACACGAATAACAAAAAGGGGAAAATCACAGGCTACACAATTTATCCCATGGCTAGAATGGACTGGGACAGTTCTTCACACTAAATATCCAGATTTTCTCATTATGCACATACCAGTCCCTAGAGCCCTCCTTAGAAGTCTGTTAGCAGCTCTGATCCCTACAGAGCTCTTAAGCTCCATCTCTGCTCATACAGAATTTAGAAAACATGTGGCTTTGGATAACTGCCCATACATTAGACTGGCCTGATTAAGCAGTCCCTACTGTCCCTACTTTGGTATAAATAGAGTTGGATCATATGTGTAGTGGAGAGCAGTGAAAAGAATCATACAAATTAGATCCTGAAAATGTAATGTTTGTAATGTTGCTCCTTTGCTCAGCCAGTGCTTCATCTGCAGAAATACTTGGTATGGTTTCTTCTTAATCAGTTCCAATGAGAGAGAGCTTTTGTAGTAACGAGTATGGCTGTGCTCACAGCTTGCTTTCACTGGGAACTGAGAAACTTTAGCTGGAACTTAAATAAGCTATACTAGTGCTTCCCAAAACCCAGCACTGAGGACACAACCTGCTGAAGGGCTGTGCAGCTTGTATATACATATACTTACCTGCTCTAGCCAGGGCAGGCAGATCTCAAAAGCTGTAGATAAGTAGTCACTGAAGCCTAGACTGAGTACCAGCACTGGGCTTACCAGCAAGTTACTGTCCCTGGAGTTCTCCATGGTGAGAACTAGCCATTAGAAGAAAGATTATAAATACTGTTGAATTTAGATGCTAGTTGTCTGGCAATTGCTGTGTCTCAGGCTGCTGGCATAATTCTTTAGCCCCCCCATGCTGTGCTATATTACATCACATTCAGAAGGGGGAAAAAAAAGAACACAAAACAACTGTGTAAATAAACTTCTTAAAATTACTTTTTCTTGTTTCAGTATCTTAGCACCCCTGAGTTAGTATATTGAAATAATAAGTTAGGAACCTGTCCACAAAGACGTGATCTCTTTAGAGATGCATATTTTTTCCCATAACCAATGATGTTTTCCAAACACCTTTTAAATAATTCATAGTCAGAAACCAGAATGTAGAAGACTTTTAAGTAAAGAGTGTCAAGTCACTTTTCATTATTCATCTTGGTCATATTAAGTTCTTGCTGTGCATTTTTTAGTGTTTTATTTTTCTGAAGCTGATTGTTTGGGAGAGCTCAGAAAATTTTTGGCCCTGTAAGAATATCTTTTTCGTTAGATTTTTGTTAGATTCTCTCTCTATTAGGCAAACTGAAAAAGGAAGAAGTTCATTTCTGCTAGATCAGCTCTCCAGAACCTCTCCAGCATTCCTTAGTTTGTTTCTCCAGAACCTTCAGAAAACATGATCTGTTAGAGCAATATCTGCTAATCTCTCACTACATCTCGATCACTTTCTGAACATGTCGGCTCTTAGTAGGAGTAGGAGGGCATGGCAACTGTGGATGCAACTCAGGTATTTCAGCTCCAATCCATCACACCTGGGGGTAGAAGGTTCATTTCACCAAACTTCACTCTGACGCCGAACAGTGTTGATGGATAGAACCACATCTTGTCGTTCTCAGACAGAAGAGCAGTGGTTGTAAGTAGGACAGTTTCTAAAATTAAGGAAAATGTAGGAACCATGATATAGGATGCAAACTCTGAAGCACAACAGTGAAACACAGAATTTTGGATGGGGAAAATGTGCAATACTGTCATGCATTGTATTGATTTGGTTACATTAATTAATGTAATTAATTATATAAACACTAATTTAATGCTTCTGTAAAATTTTAGGAGATTCAAGGCCAGCTTCTTACTGTTCATTCTGCAGGGATTTTTCAGAAGAATTTCAAAAGATCAGCCATCTTTCTCTTTCACTGATAAGGCCATTCTGGTTTATCTCTGACATTTGTAATTGCTATATAGGAGTCGTTACTGCCTTTTCTCTCTCTGGATTCAGCTACTGTTCTCCTTCCTTATTGGTCTTTCTAAATTCCAGGTCTGGACATACATAAGCAGAAGGAAGGATTTGTCTTCCCTTTCCTTAGCAGCTTCTTGTATCTCCTCCTTCACAGGGCAGACTTTGGGCTGAAATTGCAGTACCAGAACTCAAGTTTTATCTCTGCTCATCATCCTCTCTGCCATTCATCCTGTTTCATCAAGGAAGAAATATGCTGTGGCTGGGAATCCAACAGACACAGCTTCCTCTGACGTGCTCAGCAAATGTTTTAGTTTTCAGCAGAAAAAGGCTTTTCAAAGGCATTCCTTATTCACTTGAGACCTGTCTGTGGTTCTTGCTTACTGGACAGAATTGTTCTTAATTTCTGAGATGATGGGCCCTTAAATAAATGGAATGAAAACATATGCATGTGAAGACATAAAAATGGAGTAATTTTTGTGTTTGCCTACAAAAGGTTAATGTTTGCTGGAAAGAAACTTGATTGTACAAGCATCTTAAGCTAAGCATAAAAGGTTGAGCATGTGTAATAGAAGAAAATTCATTGTAAATTAAAAAAAAAAAAACCAAACCAAACTGTAATTTTCACAGTTCTGTTGCTCTTTGAACTATTTGTCTCCTTTCTGTGTTTCTCTATATTGTGGTATAAACTTACGAAGTTGCAGAATTATTTCTCTTCACTTAATATTGCATGGAATCTCAGTATTTGTTTCTACTCGGGTTCAGCTGTGATCTTCCTAATAGATACTTGGCTTCTGTGTTCCCCTAATATTCCAGGCACTTTTGCAGTTTCTGTGCAGACAAGCTTGCATACTCTTTCATCTTTGTTTCTTCACATCCACACATGATCCATAGAATAGCTGCCTTCTTGCAGGTTCATGTTTATATCTGGAAAAGCAGAAGTGTCTATAGTTTAAGATGGCAAAAACAGCCAAGCATTTTTAGTTCTAACCTCTTGTTTTCCTCTATTTAGGATTTCTTCAAACTTTTTGCAGCCTTAGGTGGCTTTTCTCCCGTGTTTGCTTTGTCTCCAAAATTGAGGGAAAATAAAAACATTTTAATTGTATGAAAGTTATGTATTGCTGAAGCTTGTAAATATGATGTAACGTACCTTTATGGACTGCTAATTGTTTTGAAATGGTTTAATATTAATACAGCTGATACCTGGGGTATATTTATTTATCCATATTTTTGAATCTATATATGCCTATGTGCTAATCACCATGCAGGCAAAAACAATGTATCTGAACATTTAATCATAAACTCCCAGGAACTGCAGTTCTTTGATTACCTGCAGTTAGTAGAACTTGCTAAATGTTTTTCTGTCAGTCCACAGAATCTATAGACAGATTATCTTTGCATTTCCTTATCTCTTAAAATCAGGAAAATAATAAAGATAAAAGCTTTAGAATCTCTTGATTTAGAGAATTTATTTCCAGCAATGTTAACAAAGCCATAATATACCCTGATTTTCTGTTCCTGTAAGCTTGCAGTATTATTGACAGCTTGCAGTCTATCTCATTATGCAAGTTCTGCATAATGACTGAAGGAACACTTCAAAGCAGAACAGAGGGTTATTTGTAGAGCAGTGCATTTAGGATATTTTAATAACTTTTTTTTAAAGAAGAATATGCTGATTCATTGAAACCAGTGAAACAGTACATTTTGATAAGTTACCCAACTCAAAAATACCTTGAATTAATGGATTAAAATATCTTGGTTTGTACATTTTCTTTTATTTGAAAATATATCCCTTTTCTTCACTTTCTCTGTTCCTCCCTGTTTCTCCTTGATTCTCCCTGTTTATGTCTCTTCCTCTCTTCCACTTTGCATTCCCCCTTCTTCTTGCTCTGTTGCTCTCATTCTCTTTGTCTTTCTCTCATCCCCTCTTTCAAGCCAGCCTTTTATTTTATAACTGCCATAGATCTAGAGCTCATAAATATGTCTAAAATATTTTTCTTGATCCAGGCTGAGATCTGTTCTATTTTTTATTATTATTATTTTTTTAGATTTCAGCATGTTAAAGGATCAGAATAATCTTCCTAAGTAAATGAATTCAGTTGCTTGCTCTTAAAATCAGGGTTTTTTCCACTCCACCAATTTATGAGAAGACTGTTTACAAATTTACTTCCCTTTATGCTTAGATTAGTTTGGGATTTGTTGATTTCCCACCCCTCAAGATAATGTTAGTGCTAGCATCCTGTAGTACAATTACTTTTTTGCCTATCCCAGTGTTGTTTCTTCTTGGGTATTTGCCAAGAGCCATCATACCTCCCCTCTGACTTCACTTCGCTGAGCTCGCAAATCAAGTTCTTGCCATCACCTCATGGACCGGAGGCTTTTCATCCTCATTTCTGTCTTGGCAGCCCTTTGGCTGACCATGACTGATCAGACCATAAATAATATTGCCAATGAAGTCTTGCCTGCACTGAGGGTTATGGCATAAAATAATTTCCTCTAATAGCATCCCACTGGCTTTTTTTTTTTTTTTCCCATGTGTATATTACACACCTAGCATACAGGTATTTTGCAGCCAAACAGTACCTTAAGGTTTTTTCCTCCCACTGCCTCCAGCCATTTGTAGTCCTAACTTAGAACGTGAAACTGTTTAATTAATTCCAGAGTGTGATCTTCCAGATTCTTATGTGACATCTAATTATATTATTCCTGATCCTTAATGTCATTCTGTTCTTTCTTACATAATATTTCAAAAGTCCTTCCTTCTTTTTCTTAGATCAGGAAAAGTATTTCTGGGCTATCTCTATATTATTATACGGTTCTTCTCTTAATGCAGACTTAATACTGTATTTTGTGCATGTATAGTATTAGGAAGTCCCTGGATATGTTTAATTGACGGCATTAAGCATATAGCATGAGCACTGGCCTTGGTCATACCCATTACTCTTGTGAGTAGTATGAACCTTCAGGTCAAGTGGATTCAATAGCCCCCAAGTGCCTGCCTGATCCCGACAGTAGTGGGTGGCTCTGAGCACAGGAGAGCTGTATGGAGCTCCAGTATGGAGCTGCAGGGCCTGAACACAGCTGGGGACTGCAGTATGTGCTGGAGTGCCATCTTAAATCCAGATTTCATATAGGGAAAGATGGAATGCTTTTCCGGACAGGTATTGCATCCTACATGCTTTGAGTCTTCTTCCTGCATATTTAAGCCTGGACCTTGGTTTTAGTATTGCAACATCCTGCTAAAAAGTCAAGCTTACTAAAATCAAGTTTGTGAACATATAAGTGCAGAAGATCTATCTGGAGATGCATATAGGTTGCTTTGATTTTGTATTGACCATGGTAAAATAAGTAATTCCTTCTTCTTAGCTGACAAGTTAAAAAGTCAAGATTTCTACGTATTTCTACGTATTTCTTAAATACTTGTGACCTGAAACCTACGCGTGGTTTCATTGGTATGACTAAGGCAGGGAATCTGACATTTTAATTGCTTGAAATTGAGCAAAAGACATTCAAAGAAGGAAAACCTTCTGATTTTTCTGTTTTCTTTGGGGGCTTTGGCACTCTTTTAGAGGAAATTACTTATTCTGATTGGCCTTTCGAATCCTCTACAGAAGAGAAATGAAGAACTAAATCTTAAAGTAGGTCAACATCACGCCAATTATTGCTTTAATTAGTGACAGCCACATCTTTTTTTTTTTTTTTTGTTCATTTTAACAGGAGTCAGAGATATCCCAATTTTACTAATATGAAAGCAGTTGTGTCTGTGATTTTCAGTGGACTTCACCCTGTCTGTCAGATTACCTGGAAGTGTACATGGTAAAAAATTTAAAAGGCTGTACCTTTAGTTTTCCAGTCACAGCTGTTCTTTTCGTTTTATCCACAGATATCAGTAGACTATATGTGGTCTAAAGAAAGAACAAATAGCAAAATGTTCTTAATTAGGTTTGAAAAACAACTGTGGGAAGAAGGTAAGAGCTTTTTACAGTGACCTGTACTCTCATGAAAAAATGTTCTCTCAGTTGATTGCTTTGTACTCTGGATGTATAACAGTAAATCAAACCATAAATCTTTAAATGGTCCAAAAATACTTTAAACACCTCTAATAGTTCTAGTTTGTGAGAGCTGAATGGTGTATGAGGAAGTTTTAGGTTCAGATTCTTTTACACACATTATGTAAAATAACATATCACAATGATATGTCATAACTCTCTGAAGTAGGGAAGACCTATGTGTGTCAGGTTTTTTCATGTTCCAAACACTGTAAAGATGTCTTCAAAGAATTCTGCAATTCCTTGCTAGAATTGCTGAGAAATTATTGCTACTGCCTTACTTTGTAAACTCTTTGCCAGCTGCATGCATTCATTAAGATCACTTTAAATGTGCACTAGTTAGTTGCTGTGAATAGAATATTGCATCTTGTATTTTCTTGTACAGAACACTTACACAAAACCTGTTAGTGGTGGAGTTAACATTTTAAGTACTTTTTTACAAGTATTAAGTGTGTATTCATTAACATTAATGTGCAACCTGTACTTCACCACATAATAAACAGAATTACTTTTAATACAGTGAATTATAAACTAATCTTCACATGAACAGTACATGAAGTTAATCTTGTATTTTCCTGGTGCTAATCAAATTGTTCTTAAGTTACACTTTCAAATATTTTATAGTAAGAGTATATTTCAAGCTTTGTTTTTCTTCCCTGTTTTCTGATTTTGAGACTACTTTAGTCATTTTTTTTACGACTACTTCAGACACACAAATATTTGATACTAAGAAGTGTTGTACCCTTAATACCCACTATACTATCAAAGCAGCTCTGATTAGGAGAGAATTAATTCATGTTAGACTGCAAATTAGTATCTCTATTATCTCACTCCTCAGTTATTGTGGCAATTTATCAGTATCAGCAGAGCTAAGTAATGCAAAAGGAATGTAACAAAGTTTGTGCAGAGGGTGAAGATGAATCTCATGTCATACCTTGTAGACTGGCTCATCCGCTGTCCTGCACTGTGGCTGTTGCAGTTGTGCACCAGGTCTTGACGTGCCAGACTGGGGCTTTTCCTCTGCATCTTTCAGTGGAGGCACCAGGGAGGATCCTGCTGCTGGGACAGCCTCTGCAGGGTAGAGGCAGTGGGAGAGAGCTTGTTCTGCTGGAGGGCTTGCTTTGCTTATCACCTGACTTACCTGTGCTCTACATGTTTCTCGGCCACCACCTTGAGTACAGGACAAGTGAAACCACATGAAATAATGGCATTTAGTCAGCCTGATTCATAGGCTTAATTTTAACTTTTTGAAGAGCATCACTGAGCAATACCTTGACTTTGCC